CCCCCCCCCCTAGTCCACACAGCAAATGACCAGGATTTTAACCAACAGCAAAATAAGCAGGTTAGAAAGAGGAGGATGACTGAGCAACCTGTGTACCCAGCGGGAACGCAAGCACATCCACCAGCAGGGAACAAGGTGTCGTGGTGCGGTGGCATTAGCAGGTTAGATATCAAAGCAGCAAAATTTTCCTTTGACAGTATTGTACAAGCCCAGCTGCGATGATGGCCTGTTTTATTTCGTCTTCCTGCGTCAGTTTTTCCACATACGGCCCTCCTCTTCGTGACTACATTTGCCGGTGTTCTGCGAAACTAAAGCAACTGCTCTCTGATTTACTTTTTCTGTACTGTGTGTGCTTGCTTGTCCTATCGGCACTAATTATTACAAACATTACCAACAAATAAGGCAAACAAATTTGCACATTCTACAAGACTGTCAATTCATATTATGTTTGCTATTATAGGCTTACCTTTCAAATTCGACATTCACATCGTTGGAAATCTCAAAAGGTGTTTCGAGGAGAAAGGAGGCCACTAAGTTCTCTCCGCCACAGAATTTTTTCACAGACCATTTTACACTCCTCCATCAGTTGTAGGGTTGTTCTCACAGTAGAACTACGAACGGCAGGCTACCTACATCCAACTCACTCATACATAGTTCGACCTTTTTCACTGACGATCCCCACCGTGTGCTCCACTGCAAGGTAGAGCAGGGATGGTGACTTACGCGTGATTTAGTTTATAGTGAATGTAGACTTGCGTAACATGTACCGCACCCTCTTTTTCTTCTTCTTCTTCTTCTTCTTCTTCTTCTTCTTCTTCTCCTCCTCCTCCCACCTGGACCCTATATCAAGACAAAGTCAAAAAGACCGGAGGTTGGGGAGGGCGCAGGTGGAAGGAACGGTCTAGCCCGCACCATGGCGTTCCACTCCACACCCCCTGGTCCACACAGCAAATGGCCAGGATTTTAAACATCGACAACATTGGGGAGGAGAGGAGGAGGTGGCAGGTGTCCCAGTGTGCGCGACCACTGCCGACAATGGGGTCTGCCGCTGCATACCGGAATGTTGGGATTGGTTACGGTGCCCATTCCGATAATGCCTGCCAGAATCCAGCTTATAAGAACTAAGGATATGCATAAGTTGGTAGTATTTGACTGACAGGGTCCAAGAGACGTCCTACCTCCACGTACTTTAAGGGCAACCGCCTGATTAACCTGACATGCAGATAGACCATTCTCCTTCCTGACAACGTTTGATGCTGCAGATACCTAAAAAGTTCATGTCACGCATAGTTAGGCGAAAGCAGCCTACGTGGCCGGATCGTGACTAGCGCAAACAGAAATTCAACACGTCATGCATATGACTGAGTAACTTCGCCTACGAGACCGGTAAAGCCATGATCCTCCATCGGTGACCAAAACATCTCCATACAAAGCATCCCGTATCGAGCTCGTACCTGCGTCAACCTTGGACATCACGTCTTATAACCCCGGAGCCCTCAGGCATCGATCGACAACCACTACGACGATACTTATTTCTCTTTACTTTCCACGCCAGAGCTCCTGCGTCCAGATGGTCGCCGAATCCATCTCTGAGTTACTGGACTTGGCTGAAGATGCCTGTAACGCTGCCGATCGGCTGGTTGGGAGTCATGAGATGAGAAGACAGGGCGTGGAGAAGGGAGGGGGCACTGGTCCGGGCCACTGTGCAAACAGATCGTCATCCAACGCAGGACGACAGACAGGTGACGACCAGTCGAATGCCAACAAACAGACTCTTCATGCCAAGGTATCACAGGATATTTCACCCTTCGCCTAGCCAGCCTCCTCGTTGCATTTTGCTTCATAAAATTCCATTACTTGTTGCTTTTAATTGCCTTGCTTTGTAATTGAATTGTATTAGTGAAAACTTTTCTGAACAATCGCTGACTTTGGAAAGACCACCACAACCACCACCACCACCACCACCACCACCACCACCACCACCACCACCACCACCACCACATAAAAACGCTTTGAACCACCATGAACATGGCAAGCCTTATTTGCTCCGAGGCATACCATAGTCCTGGAATCTTTTGCCAATCTATGCGAAAGACGTCAGGTCGTGTAGGGGACTGTCATTTTTAATTTTGTTATTGGCCTCTATCCTACATCTAAGTACCAAGATCAAGTGAATAACCAATTTTTATTCTTGACCGAAATCGCTTGTGATGAGCTTGCTTCACTCTGTTTGACAGCTTTCTGAACTTCGCGCACTGATCAAGGAACTTAATGCGTCTATTCTGCAGAGCATCGACGCCGGGGACTATGAGCGTGCAGCAAATCTGCGCGATCAGTGCGCTCGCTTAGAAGAAGAATGCAATGCCCTGACTCGGCGGATCTCGGGGTAAATATGTCTGCTGTCCGAGGGCTTTCCGCTTATGTTAAAGTCAGATTTTAATCTGGTCATCTGTCTTTCGAATAGTCTTCTTTTTGAAATCTTCAGTTTATTCATCTCTTTTTTCGAACACCCGTTGTGTGAGGGTAATTGACAGTTTCCGTGCCTGGAACTTAGCATAAGGTCTCCAATAGGACTCTGCTGATCGACTCTAGAACAGCTAAGTCCTTTAAAAAGGCAGCAACATTTTCTGCCAAAAAATTTGTACATGATAAATTTAGTCTTATAGAGGAGGAATGGTTCCTGGGTTGATTTTATCCAAAACAAGCCCAATCTGAACGTATTTAACGCGTTTTATTATCCATCCCTGAAGAAATTGGAGTGCTGCTCTTCAAAGCAGCTCCGGTGCATCTTATTCTCAAGCTATAGTAAACCATTCAAATAAAATCACTCGGTGCAAGCGATTTCATACCCACCGCCGCACTCAGCGATATCCGGTTCTCCGAGCACGGCCAACTAGAGGAGGTGGGTGCCGGCTACACCTTCTTCTGGAGCGGTTGCCGCAAGGCAGAGCGACGGGACGCGGACGTCTCCTTTGCCATCCGGAACGACATCGTGGGACGACTGCCATGTCTGCCGCAGGGCATCGAAGATCGCCTGATGAGCCTCCGCCTGCCTCTCCGCGGAGGCAACTTCGCCTCTATCGTCAGCGTCTACGCTCCCCCGATGACCAGCTCTGATGTTGCAAGAAACAAATTTTACGAGACCCTCTCGGAGTCTGTGCCGAAGGCGGATAAGTTGATTGTCCTTGGTGACTTCAACGTTCGCGTCGGCACAGACAATGCTGCTTGGGTCCCATAGTCTCAACGACTCTAACGACAATGACCTACTCCTCCTACAAACCTGCACAGGAAACCGACTCATCCTAACCAACACCTTCGTCCGTCTTCCGACGTGAGATTAGGGGCCACCTGAATGCACTCCCGGTCTCGAAACTGGCCCCTGCTGAACTATGTCTTCGTTCGGAGGCGAGACCAGCTGAACGGTTTGCAAGGCCGAGGAGATCCTAGGATACGCCGAGCGCAAGGAATAGAAGAACTTCCCCGGGACGCAAATTCTTCAGCGATGGGCCGAGCACTTCAGAGGCGCCCTCAGCCGTCCATCTAACATCTCTGACTCCTCCATTCCCTGCCTACCTGAAGTGCAGGCCGACGCCGACCCCGGCCTCGCGCCCTCTACACGAAACCATCAAGGCCGTGCAACAGCTCTCCTGCGGGAAAGCGCCCGGATCGGACGCGATTCCTATAGAGATCTACAGGCACAGTGGCCCCCCAACATATGGATCATCTGATTGCGCTCTTCCAGGAGATGTGGCGTCAAGAAGAAGTCCTCCAGGATTTCAGATAGCCACAACCATTCACTTTTACAAGCAGAAAGGTAACCGCTAACTCCGCGACAACCACCGAGGTATCTCCTCGCTGAATATCGCCGGGAAGATCTTCGCTTAAGTTCTCCTCAACCATCTGGAACAGGGTCCCCTGCTGGAAAGCTAGTCCGCCCTCCGCCTTCTCCGCGTAACCACGGAAATGATTTTGGCCGCCCGCCAACTGCAGGAGAAATGCTAGGAGATGCGGACCCACCTGTACTCTACCTTCGTAGATCTGACGAAAGCCTTCGACACGGTGAATCACGGAGGGCTGTGGAAAATAATGCCGAAATTCGGCTGTCTCCAACCACTTGCTCAGGTGGTGCGTCAGCTCCACCATGGCATGATGGCGCGCGTCACAGATAATGGACTTGTCTCAGAGGCATTCGCAGTGATCAACGTCTTTGCGTCTACCCCCTTCAGTTTCATTTTCTCTGTCATGCTGATAGACGCCTATCGTGACCGTGACACAGACGACTGCGCTTTTAATGCCACCTCTAAAGGTGCGATGCAAAGGAGCATAGAACTTTTCGCCGCCGCCTGCGACAGCTTCCGCCTTATCCTCAACACGGAGAAGACGATGGTTATGCATCAACTGCCACCCGACGCTGCCTACATCTCACCTTAAATCAACGTGAACGGCACCCAACTGCAAGCCGTGGACAACTTCACCTACCTAGGCAGCACTCTCTCGCAACACCAGAATCGACGACGAAGGAGCCCGCCGGTGCGGATGGACGACGAGAGGTTACCCAAAAGACTCCTTTATGGAGGTGTCGTCAGGGGTTCCCGACGACAACGAAGTCAAGTTCGGGACTTTAAGGTTATCTTGAAGACTTCCCTGAGGCGCCTGCAAATCGATCCGGCCAACTGAGAATACCTCGCCGAGACCTACCGACCAGGTGGAGGGCAGTGAAGACCGGCACAGGGATCTACGAAGCCAATCGCACCGCCGCCGCCAAAACCAAACGCGAAGCTCGGAAATCTCAACTGCCCCCGCCGCGCAGCGTCAACGCTCAACTGTCCCCGACCTACCCACAGTATCCACGGACGTTCCGGGCACCAATCGGTCTCATAGGACTTCTTCGTACTAACTGCAGCACTCAGACGACACCACCTGATGTCTCCCCGTCCACATTTGCTTCGTCCCCACGTCGATAATCAACAATTACCGCACTCCTGAATCCCCACCACCATCCTCCTCCATCGGCTCGACATTCGCTCTGACGGTTCCTGCACCCACCGCCACTGCACTCAATCCTAACAAACCGACAAACATCAACCCCACCACCAGCGATGTGGACTCGGTCCATACCTGTCGTCATTGAGATCGCATCTTCACCTCACGTATCGGC